GTAGATAAAATCATTACAGATTATTGTAGTGTCTAATTAACCTAAACCACAATCTGTATGTCTGGACTGTGGGTTGAAAATACCAGTCTTCAGGAATACTACAGTCGGGTCCTGACTGTAAAAACCACTAAAAAAAACTAGGCTAGTAGTTGGTGTTGACTTGAAAATACCATTTATCCCTAAAAATCACTTTACTCTTCAAATTGGGAAATAACTAGAAAAGCTCTTAGAGAGTGTTGATTTCTGACAGGGCTGCTCAGTCCCATTCACTTTCATCACTTGTTTTGTTTTGTTAACCTATAGTATTTTTATTTTCATTTAAATACAACATTCTTTAGAGTAGGTGAAGAATGTTCAGAGAGAAAAAAAAGACAAAAAGTGACTAGATTTATGCTGCACAGAGTCAACATGAGTGTCAGGTTACATCTATGGCGCAGCAGAGATTTATGTTTAATAAGCTTCAGGTGTTGCCTGTTCTGGGTTTAGGATGGGGGAGGACAGGGAGGGGGAGGAGAGGGTCTGTCCATTTCTGCTGTCGTGGTCTATACCCACACTTCAGTCAGGATGGCTGCTCTACATCTGTACGAACAGAGCTACCTTTGTGCCCACATCACCGTTGGTTTCACGTTGATCTGCATCACCTGGATGACAACATTCACGCTGTCAGACCTGAGCGGAGGCACATGGAAAAACAAATGTTTGACTAATAAGGACAATAAAGTAAAGGTGTGTGTAAGAGGTCACGGTTGTGATTGACAGCTAATAACATTTCTTTTTTTTTGATTCCTCCTTTTTCCAGATGAGCATCTTTTCACCTTTTTTCTCTTTAACTTGGCTGCAGCCCTTGTTCTCTACATTTTTTTTTTATATTTAATTTACCCCTGGAAACAACATGAGCTAAGCAGAACAAAAGCTAAAAACAACAACAACAACAAAAACAAAACAAAACGTGGCATCGTTTTGTACGTTATTCAACATCCAACATATTTGGAATTGATTGTATAAACAACTGTTCCACCAGTATTTAATGAAGTAACACCTCTGTTCATGTTTTTTTTTTTTTTTTTGCTTATTTTCATCTAAATGTGATTGGAATTTAGAAGCATATTTCTTTTATTCATAAACAGGTTTACATTTATTGGCTCACACTTCTGGTCCCTGAACTCCCGACATCTGGCCTGTGATTGGATGTCCACCATGATTTAATTTTGACAATATTTCTTAAGGTGGTCTAACTGTCTCCTATTTTCATCTTAGCTGTCTTTTTTAACTTTGAACAGAGAGTTCAGAAACGGTGATGTCATCAAAACATCACCGAAACGTTGACATCCAGGTGGTTAGAAGGCGTTTTCACATAAATTCATATCAAATTTGAGAACCTTCCAGTGTCAGTAGTCCAGTTCCGGGACAGTTTCTGATCTTTTTTCTGTCACATACCTTTTTAATCAACAGTCTTTTAATATGCGAACATTCCTTTTTCACCTTCCACCACATCTGTGTAATCTTTAACCAGCACCTCCCCTTGCCCCCCCATCCCCTCCCTCATGCTTCTCACAAATTCTATAGATCTTATATCAGACATTTACTAGCTAATTGTAAATCATCACTGTGAGTTTTATTCCAGACACCTGAAAATGTCTCAACAAGACGGACACAAAAATGCAATTCTGGCACTTCTGTAAAAAGTGCACAAGTGTGAAATGGAAACAAGTGAAATTTAATAGCAGCAGAGAATTTTCTTGCCTTTGGCTGTGAAACCTCCCACTTTTACAGATACACCCAGAGAAAAAACAGCTGTAGTAATATAGGAGTTCAAACTGCAGCAATATGTCTCTCATTCTGTTTCACTCACTTAATCCCAAGCCTTAATTTTTCTGGGATGGTAAATATTAGTTTAATAAAAGCCATGGTGTGGAGAGATCAGGGCCACCCACAGCAAACAGGCCATTATGTTTGTAAAGCACAGAAAAGACCGAAACAAAAGCAGTCTCTGTGGTTAAGAAGTAAATTGAAGAAAATGACTTAATTGCAAATCTTTTTGTGTGCGTCATCCTCGTTTAGCAACATCTCCTCATGGGTCTGTATTCAGAGGAAGATATGAAAATGTATGGTCTTTGTTTTACCAAACTTATTGCCAAAGAAGTTAATAAACTTCCTTAAAAATTAATTAAAACTATTATGGGTCTGGGTACAGTATTTGACTTTTGGAGGTTCCTTAACTAAGTTAAAGTTACTACATTAGCAACAGGTTAGTGCAGTTACAAAAGTGTGGGGCGAGCCACCCTGAGAGACATGGAGCAATGGCAGGAAGGGCAGCAGGGCAAATACAGTACATTGCAATATCAATATTTTTCTTGTCTCAGTAGATAAAATTGATTAATTTAATCAATAACAAGTATGCATGAATAACAGTGTTTCACATGATGTTCATTTTTTAAGC